CTAATACGAGCACTCATCTCTACAGCGCGACCGGTCACACAAGGGTTGGTACGTTCGCATCGAGACCGATTGCGTTGGGCGTGACCGTTTGCATCCCCACACTTAGAATATTTTTTTGAATTCTAAAAACTACACCAACTTGGTCCCATCGTTCACATCAAAGGCTCGACCGATCGTGTTGATGACGCGATATCAATGCAATCAATTGCATTATCCACATCACCGGTCGTGTTCATCCTAAACACGAGATCTGTTGTGCGACTTCGGGTTTCAGATCTAATTTTGCCCGATTAGAAGTACTAGTGATGCAAAAACATGTCCAACAGTTGATAATACGTATCTAAACGATAATCCCAATATTAAGCAAGCAAAATCAAGCCTTATGAACATATATATACATATAGATACAAACTTATATAGACATATATATACATATATACCTAACCGCATATATATATATACGTATATATACGTACACTTACATATAGATTCGAAATCATCATTACACATATATAGGTTTAGATTTAAAATTATAAATGTACAAACATATCTATTGATCTGAAAACATTGATACACATATATAATCGAATTCCATGCTTTTACACCTATGTCTAGTCATGATTAATCTTCAATTATTAACCCTAAAGTTCCGCAAAGATGAAAAGTTTATAAATTCAAAGGGAAAGAGTAAAGTTGTGACTTGCATTAAGTTTTCGTAACGAAAATGATGTCACAAGCCTTCCGAATCTTCTTCTCCAACTCTTATAGCCCTAGATGGTTGGTTTGCCTTCTCCCTCTTTGCCTTTCAATTCTCTCTCTCTCTCTCTTAATTATACGTATGATACTAAACATAATAATAATAACCCTAAATATATATATAAATAATAAAATCATATAAAATAAAATAAAATACATATAATATAATACATGGACTTTAATCCCAACATAGCCCAACAAGTCCCTCACATAAGCTAAACTCAAGTCCTGTGGTCCAATGATACTAAAACCCAACCCATTAAAATTAAAATAAATACATTAAACAATTTATCAATAAACACAATTAATTAAACACATAATAACAAGTTACAAGCAAATAAAATGAACCACAAGCGAGTAAACCACGTAACACAAAAATCAACAATTTAATTGCACATAAATGAAATAAAGTAATCTAATTAATTAAATCTAATCAAATAAGCAAATAAACCAAGTTAATGAAATCAACAACTAAACAAATAACACAATAACAATTTAAATAAATATAATTAGCCCAATAATCAATTAATGTAAATAAAATAAATAAAAATAAATCCTCTGAAAATTAGGAAGAGGTATTACAAATACCATCGCGACAAATACCTTCATCTTATCGACAAAGTAATTCAAATCTTTAAGTAAGAACCTGTACAACACAAAGGCTAAAATCATGAAAGAGAGTTTGATGGGTCATACAATGATTCAAGCATTGCTTGAAAAACTAAGTCAATGTGGTTTTACTTTTGATATTGAGCACGACAAGGATAATAGTTTCACTCATTTATTTTTTGCACATCTTTCTTCAATTACGTTAACAAAAAGTTATATATATATGTCTTTATAATGGATTGTACTTATAAAACAAATAAATACAAGATGTCATTGCTTGATATTATTCGAGTGTCAAGTTTCAACAATTCATTTTATTCTTATTTTGCCTTCCTTAAAAAGAAGAAGAAGAGTATTATATTTGGGGTTAATTTGGAAAAGTTCAAGAAAATTACTGGTGGTGATAAGCATCCTTGGGTGATTCTATCCAATAGATAGTTAGCACTAATGAAAGCTATTCAAGATATCTTCCCAAGAGTTGCACATCTTTTATATGTATGACACATTGAGAAGAATATTCTTTCAAGTTGTAAGCATCACTTTAAAGAGAAAGATGATTGGGATACATTTCTTTCTATATGGACAAAATTGATAAACTCTTATGATGAATAAACATTTGATGAAGTTTGGAATCATTTTGAAATTCAGAATAAATGATAAGCATCTATTTTAAACTATATCAAAAGCATATGGCTGCCATTTATAAAAAAAAAAAAAAAAAAAAAATGATTTGTAGATGCATGGATAAAGAAATATACACATTTTGAAAATCGTGTCACTTTAAGGATTGAAGGTGCATATGCAACGCTTAAGAGATATCTTTAAGTTTTAACTGGTAATTTTTGGAAGGTAAAAGACAAAACTAACCTTAGGTGTTATAATAAAATGACAAAAAGAACCACTAGCAATGTACTAAAATGCCCTTATAAAGTTAAGTTAATTACCTAATACCCATTCTCTATTTATGTAGTATTTATTTTTACCATGGTTAACCTCTACCACACCATTGCTACCTCCACATAACCACCACAATTGCCGACCTCCACCACCATCACCAATAGCAACAACCCCCAATAGTAACAACCCTAATTCTTTGTCTTCATCTTGTTTGTCGGGTTCAATATGGTTAAGAAGATTTAATCGAGTATGCACTTAGGTTCCTCAAGTTCGGGTTCTTGCATCGTCCTTGGCCTTGGGCTTTCAATTGCTTCTATTTCTTGCATGTCCTGGGTCACTCCTATTCATTCCCGTTACTTCCCCGTATATGTATATAAACATATATTATATATATGATATATATGTGTAGTTATACAAATAGGTAAACAAATTTTTTCGAAGGGGGTTAGAGTTAGGGTTTGGAGGTAGTTAGAAGGATCAATGAAATATTCTAATGATGAGGATTGGAAGATTTGAGTGACCTTATAGATAAGGTCGCGACGAGGGAGCAAGTAGCCTTGTATATCAGTTAGGAAGGTGGTAGAGTCGACTTCAATGGCGAATGAGCGGCAGTTGTCGGATTCGACAACAACTTTACTATTGTATTTGGTGGCGAAGACACAACAGAAGGAATAGAAGCGATGATACATAAATTTTTACATATGTAATCAAAGAGAGCGATGAGAGAGAGAAAATGTAAAGGCATCTGACTAAAGATGGAAGGCAAAATTTGACTTTTCAAGTAAACAAATATTCTTAATATAATATAGGGTAAATTGCACTTACACCCCTGAGGTTTGGGTTAATGCCACTCAGTGGACAATCAACGCACTAGTTTACATTGATACCCCTAAAGTTTCAAAAGTCATCATACACACCCCTCTACCCGAAAAAATGACCATTTTAACCTTTGAATTAGTCAACAAATACAAAAAAAAATTGTAAATTACAAAATAACCCTATAAACTAAATTTTGAAGGACTAAAATAACCTTCTCTCTAACTCACCATACCCTCTCTCTCCAACCCACCACACCATACCCTCTCTGTCTCCTTCTTCCCAAACACCACCCATCACCATACCTTCTCTTTCTTTCTCATCAGAAGCACCACCACAACTCCCTGCCGCCACCATCGCCACCACAACCCACTGCCGCCACAACCAATGCTACTCTCAAACTCACTACCTGACCCCCCTCCTCTACGTGACTCACTGATCTAACCTACCACAACCACTGGTCCACCCAAACCATCCACCTCTAACTGGTTGTTCTCCACCCACCACCTCTACACCACCGCCGCAGTATAGGCTAAAAAGAAATCAGTCTCAGAACTCTTGAAAGTTCAAATCGGAGATGAAAAAAATCAGATCAAGGAAAAAGATAGCAAATAACCGAAACCACTAACATCTCCACCATCTGGAGGCCGTTGCTGGTGTTGCAGTAGAAGCGGTCATTAGAGTAAGTGCAGCTGGCGCGGGCACAGATGCAGCGCGACTAGTGTTGGGATGGAGCTGTGGGTCAGTTTATGGAGGGGGAAGCCACCGCGCTAGAGGATGGAGTGGCCGACGTTGGGTGGATGGCGGGCCGGATGGCGTAAAGTTGTTGTCGTCACTAGGAGGTCCGACGAGTAGCGCGAGCGGTTGAGATTGAAATGAAAAACTATAATCTTGTTCACAAAGCTGAAAGATCAATCATGTTGTTTTGCTTGTTTCCAGATTTTGTAGGAAGTTTTTAATCTATTAGTGGTGAATTTGAGTGAGAGTTTAGTGAAGGTTGAGGTCGAGGCTCAAACTGGTGGTTGGGGTTTTTTATGGGTAAAGAAGGAATAGAGAAATGAAATAAGAGGGGTGTTGGCTATGGGTTGTGGTGGGGGCAAGTGTGGGTATTAGCTTGAGATGGCGAGGCTATTTTGGTCCTATAAAATTAGCTAGAAATGCTTATTTAGGTAAATTTAATGGTTATTGACAAGTCTAAGGATTAAATGGTCATTTTGCGTGTGAATGGGGTGTTAATGAAATTTTTTGAAACCTTAGGGAATGTCATTGTCCAGAAATCCTTTGACCAATATCTGAGTGGCATTGACCGAAACCTCACGGAGTGTCAGTGCAATTTATCCTATAATATATTATTAGAACATTGGGACATTAATGTCTTTTCACTCTAAAATTTCTTTTCTAGGTTAATCTATCTTTTAAGTCACGAAAATATTCTAATGTATAAATGATTAAATCTTTGGAAAAACACGAAAATTTTGAATTAACTTAATTGAGTTCCTTGAAATCACATAAAAAAAAAATAAATAAATGTTTTAATGAGTAACAATTGAATCTTCCAATGAAAATATATTAATCAAATACCTTGTAATTTATTAAATATATATGTATAAATTTAATCTGTAATTCATATTCAATTTATTAAAGTGACGAATTACCAAATTTTAATATATATTCATATAATCAGATCAAATTTAAATTAACATATTCAAGTTCTCACTCAACCTAAAAATAAATGAACACCATTTATATATTACAATTTATTTGTATTATTAATTTTCATTTTACATGAAGCATTATACCATGTGCCGATTTTTTCTAGTAATTCTAAATATCTAAAAATTATACTTGTACTTTATTATATTTTGGTGGATTTCTTATATTTTCTTATTAGTCTTTATTTTTATTTTTTATTTTATTTTTAGCAACATTAGTCTTTTATCATTGCAATTGTCGAAAGAGAAAGACGAAAGAAACCCTAATTTGGGCAAATCAGACGACGACGACGAAGAAGAAGAAGAAGAAGAAGGGGAGAGAGATGACGATGACAATTGTAAACTGAAATATCAATTTGAAAGCACGAGTTTCAGGTAAATCTACCTATTTGTCGTTAAATTGTTCAATCATTGTTGTTTCTGTTGATAGCATAGCAATTGCCTCAATTGGAACGACTGTGTTGCTCATAGTTGGAGATAGAAATAAGATGAAAGAGGCATGATCGGATCAAAAGGCCTCAGAAAAGATGAGAGAGAGAGATGTGTGTGTGTGAGGGGGGGGGGGGGGGGGGGGGGGGGGGGGGGGTGGTGTTTGTATAATTTGTAAAGAGTAGTTTGATCATGCGGAGAAACTAAGGGAAAGTGTGCCATTTGGGCTGCAACCCTTTTCGGAGCTGCTCTGCTCTCTCCCACCCAACAGTCTAAAACTAATCTTCCAACTTCAAACCGATTACTCATAGCAATTGGGAGCATGTTAATGTTTGATTGTTAAAACAGTTAAAATTTTGCTAGGATCGTTTCTGGGTTTCTTTCAATTTTCTTAATGAATTTGGTTTATGAATATTGGGGGTGGATATTGGAAGTACTCTGCTTATTTTCAGGCTTTTTCATCTAGATCATATACTCCGTATTTGGCATTGGGAGGCCATGGTGTTTGTTTGTTTGTTTTTTTTTTTTTCTCTCTCTCTCTCGATTAGTAAAGCGTCTATGAATGTGTAAATAAGGCCCTTGCGCTCCTTAGGAATTGAACTTGAGAGATCAGACTTAGTTGACTATTTGCTTTGAATGTTTCTAATGTTTGATTCTAAATGCATATGATAAATATGATGCATGTTTAATATTTATAGGATTGTAACCTTTTATTGCACATTGTAATGGTATTTTTACATAATTGATGCAGATGCATATTGCAATGATATATGTCTTATCAATTTAGCTAATCCTCTTCGTTGATATGGTGTAAAAATCATCCTCAATAGTAAATAGATAAAAATAAATGAATAAATAAATCATACTCAATATGTACATTCATCTTGCTAATCATGTGAATTGAATACCTAAAAGTTTCTTCACTTTGAATTTTATTAGTTTGTGTTACATATTTAATCTTGTTTTTCAATTGTTAGTATATTTAATACGCTTTTTTATTGGATAAGCATCTTAATCCCACTCAGGTTCAATCTTTATGCGCATCTTCCTCTTGCATCTTAATCCGCTCAGGCTCACGCCTTATGAAGCATCTTGCACTTATGTTTTAGAAGATTTTGGGACCTTAGTGCGCCTTGAGCCTTTAATAACCATGCTTAATAGCTAACAACTCGCTTTTCCTTCTAAGCACAGTAAATTGTGAATTATGGAAATGTCCTGGAAAACCTGGGCAATGGGCTTTAAGCTTGGAATTATGGTATTTGTGCCTATTATGATCTGCTAGCTTGTCCCCAAACTGCTTGGAATGTGGACTAGGATATCAATCATTACTTCTTTTTTTAGTTTTATATACATAAGTTTGTGAAATTACAAAAATGCCCCATGTAAATGCCCCTCAGTTGTTCTTTAAATGTTGGATTATTGCCAATGTAAAACATAATGGTGCACCTTCACTAGTATTACCAAAACTCGATTGTATAAAGCCACGAGAAGGAGAATATCAATGTTCTCACTTCTCTCTTCCTCTGCAAGTATATGAGAGAAGATTGATGCTCGATTTTCACGGTTCACCTCAGTTGCCAGTGACCACTTCAAAGGTCTCATCATCGGCAACTGGTGACCCCATAGTCATAGGTAGGGTACATCTTCGTTTCTTCCTCTTTCTCTTTCTTCTTCTCTTAAAATTGAAAACCCTAAAATTCTTCTTTCTAAAGATCTCTCCCATGCTGTTGGGTTTTCTTTTTTACTCTTCTTCTTCTTCTTCATTTTTTTTTTTTTGATTCTCTTCAAAAAAATTGCATTCCTTTCTTGTATACAATTAGTTTTAAGAAAAAAAAAAAAAAAAAAAGGATCTTATATGAATTTTATATCAGGTTTTTGCATTTGTGTCCATGGAATTTTTCTCATCCAAAAATTTCACTTCAAATTTTCATCCATTCATAGCCCAAGACTCAACTCTATATCTTCCTCATGTGTTGGTTTTTTTCAAATTTTCTTGTGACAGTTTACAAAGTTGAATATTTGTAATAAATCTCTAGGGTAATTGTTCATCTGCAGAAAAACCTGGTTGGTTTCTCTTTTTTCCTTGATTACCTCCATTGTGTAGCCTGAAATTGGGTTTAATTCAGAGATCGCCAGATGGATCATGCTGGTTTAGAAGTGAAAAATTCCAGCAGTGACACTTACATGTAGTAATATAAAAGATAGTAGTGTCCAAACAATGGCATATTTGAATTGTTCCTATTTGAATTTATTTATTTATTTTTGGTAGTATTGGTGTTCGATGATTTTTTTTTTTGGCTAAGTAATTGGTGTTCGATGTAATGTTGCTCTTTATTTTTTTCCTTGAAGGATTTCATTGTGTTTTCATTGGATATTTAGCAATTTATTTTATTTTATTTCTTGTCATTGATTTTTTTTTTTTTTTTTCCTTAGTTGGTACTCACTCACACATGCCTCAACTGAAACTTGAACCCCTGACCTCCCATTGGAAATTAGGGGCCTGATACCGCTAGGCCATTGACTTGTTGGTCTTGTCATTAATATTCTATAGTATATTACCTATAACAGTGAAGGATTTCATTGTGTTTTCATTTTATGATAGTTCATGTGTCATGACTTTTATGCTTTTAACAGCATAAGTTATTGAGTGGACCTAATTAAGGTTCTTTATTAATAATCGATAGCTACAGGATCTAATTCATGTTCTTTTTGATAATCTATAGCTTGATCAGGAGTTGGTTTTAATTCATGTTCTTTTTTTATAATCGATAGCTTGATCAGGATCTAATTCGTGTTATGTTTTTTACATACTTCAGTTCATAACTTCATTGTAGGGACCTTTTATCTTAAATGTTGATATGATGCAAGAACCTTGTGTCGTGAGTGTTGTTAGGTTAATAAATTGTCTATTAAACTATACATTCAGCCCTCCAAGTTGTTTGCATCGTAAAGTTGATTATATAAAATCAGTTATGGAGAAATATTTGGTGTATAATGTAATGCTTTCAAAATATGAGAACTATTCAATGGAATATTATCAATTGATATTTTGGTTCTATTTTTTTTATTTTTGTGGGAAAACAACCTATATTTATCAAGTTAGTTGGAAAAAATATTATTCTGTTAAATTCAATGTGCCCCCCGAAACAAAATCCTATCTCCATCACTGTGTTCATTGCTAATAATTTAATGGTAAATACTTGAGATTGGTTTGTGGTGTTGATTTTTTGGTCTTGGGTAATAAAAGTTTAACACTTTATACATATTACTTGGATGCTTTATATAATTTATGTGGATCTGCACTTTTTAGTTATGTTACATAGACTCTTCAAAAGTAGGTGGGGAACCCGTGTTGGACAAATAATACTCAAACATGGGTATGGGATATATGTCAGATACTTTTGGTTAGGCGTGCACCTAAAAAAGACATATCCAATAACTCAAATTGATTATATTATTTCTTCAAAACAAGTAATTGTCTAAATATGAATATTCAGCAATATCCCTATGTTCTTTTGTTTCGGGATTTGACACATTTGGATAAATACCTGGTTACCCACACCCAAGGCACATACTGATTCCATGTATGCCATGTAACATAGCTCTTTAAGTAGGATGAGGTTGCCACAGACTTTTTTTATGACTAAAAGGAGATGCCTCCCTTCTTGGTGCTCTTGCCTAGGAACTCTTGTTTTGAGCTGAGAGAGAGGGGGCGGGGTGGGGGAGAGGGAGCTGAGTGGGAATGTTCTTTTAATTTATTGTAATTTTTTTTTTTTCCCTCTTGAAATGTTAGTTATGTATGAAAATGCTAATTTGCAGAATTTGTGTTACAGGCACCAAAATCCACAAATCCTACAATGGAGTTAGCAGACAGAGCTGTTGGTTTTCTGTTATCCTTAATCAGCTTGTCCGTTTTCACTTACTATACTTTTTGGGTCATCATCTTGGTCAGTTCACTTTCATTCAATTTGTTTTCCATACGCTTTTTTGAGATTGAATAAATATACCCCATTCACATATTATTTTATTATGGTCTTTCAGCCATTTGTGGACACTGAGCACTTCATCCACAAGTACTTCCTTCCTCAAGAATATGCCATTCTCATTCCTGTATGTGCTCTTGTGATGCTACTCTGCTTCCTGTGCGTCTTTATTGGGTTTGTGATGCTCAAATCCAAGAAGAAGAAGGCTTGATTCAAGTTCTACAGTAGTTTTAATCAATTTCAAGGTACTTAGTTTTGGTCTTTTTTTTCTTTACAACGTTTCTTGATCTGAATATGTTTTACTTTTGAAATGGAAACAACTCACTAGATCTGCAGTATACCATTTTATACTCTCTAATTGTTCTAATTTGACCGTTGCATAGAAGAAATGACTTTGACAGTTATGCAATAAGACTATTGTGTGTCCATTCGTATTCAACTAAAGTTATTTGTTTACGGATTATGGAATATGCATTTTAAGGATCATGATTGGTGTGCTATGACTCATAGTTCATTATAGCAAGGATGTCATATTAATGACATTTTGGAGCATGTACTTTGGTCAGCAAATTTTTTTTTGCATGTAATGTAGTCCATATATATTTATAGCAAGGTAATTCTGTTGAATCTTTTTATCATATGAGTGAAACTGCCAACAAACACTCTTATTGATTCTCTTTTAAGGTCTCTCTCTTTCCCAATTGGTATTCTATGGTAGCAAGTTTGATGTGTATGCCGGATCAAATGTGTGAAGGTTCATAAAAGCTCGTAAGCATGGATCAAACTCTATAATTTGAGGTAAATTGATCAACTTAGACAAGACTTTCTGGTAGAGTCAAGAACCAGAGTCGGAAAATGAACCGCTCAAAACATTTTGACTTGATGTGTTCCCAATTGCTTAGCTTTTCCAAGCTTGAGAAGTACCTAGCTCCATTTAACTGGGTTGTGAGCAGATGGTTAAAGACATCTTTATGTAGGTGGATTACTTGAACTATTTTCATTATATGACCAAGTCTTTCAGATTTTTGGCAGAGACTTCAAGAACACCTACTTAATACCTCTAGAAGTGTCAGACCTGTTTGGTTTAATTCTCTAAGCACTGTTTTCAAAAATTCTGAAAACAGAAAATCGACTGTGGACCAAATGATTTTTCAAATTGTTTTGTATTTTTACTGTACCTTGATAAGAACCGGACTTAGAATGTCGATCATCTCTCCATACTAGGAAACTTGAAAGCTATGAGTGAGACTTGAATACTAGGAAACTTGTTCATGTCTGCCTTGCTATCCACAAGGAGATTGGAGGAAGCACCATTTACGTTCCAGGTACAATTAAAATTTTCCAATACTTTTGTGAGCTTGAGGTCTACTATTTTTGTGACTTTTAACAAAGTAGTTAATTGAAAATACACCATCCTAATCCTCCTAATCTGGCGTGGTTAGATAAATGTTTTTGAGTAATATTGACATCGATAGATAATTATTTTTGTAATAGCACATTATTACATGGTTCGCCGTATCGTCCGATACTTGACTTTTTTCAAGTTCGAAACGCGACCCGTATCGGTCAATTTACACTAACCGAGTTCATTACACTGCAACCGACGATAACTGATATTACGAACCAATTTAACCTTGACGTTTTGTTTTTTTTTTTTTTTTTTTTTTTGTGACGAACTTTATAGTCATAATTTTGAGCTCGGTTATCCCATTTTGGTAATTATTTATTTATTTATTTGTGTTTTTGTGCATTTTTTTAGATGTACGCCTTCCAATCCACAATTATTTTGTCAAAGAATGCCTTTGAGTTTTAAAAGATGTTTTTCTCACAGATTAAATCAATCGAGTAATAGATAATTTATTAATCTTTGTACACATGAAAGGAAAACCATTGTTTTGAAATATATTAAAATTCCGTATTATGGAATTGGTGAATGGTGCCTCGAAATTGGAATTGAAGAAAAATTAATTTAAACTTCAACCAAAGTTTGGCTTCAGTGGTTTATTCAAATTTGCATCCATGTTATATTCAAATTATATAGATAATGTCTTAAAAATCTCGTAATACATTCAAAAGTAAGTGATTCAAGCCCACATCACAAAACTTTTCTGGATAGTAGTTTTTCTTTAAAAAAAATCTCTTGCAAAATGTACAAATAAGCTAGTTTTTTACAACATTATTCCATAAAATTGAGTTTTTAGTGATTTTTATTGAATTTTTGAAGACCACTTTAAAACGCCTAGTGACCTATTTATATTTTAACTCTCTGTCGTTATTAAAGAGGCTTTTATTAAAAATTAAAGTTCAAAAAAAGTGATAGCGTTTATTATATATAAATTTAATTAAACACTAAGTCTAATGGATAGTGTCTTAATCAAATTTTTAGAGAAATTATTAAATAGTTTTTGACCTTTTTTTTTTTTTTTTTTTTTTTGTTTGAAGTATCAAGTGTTAGAAGTCCGAACCGATCGACTTATCTTGTTCTTACCCAAACCTACCACTCTTCGAAGAACCGGCCAGTTCTATCACGATCCTATTGGTTCTTTTGTGTATTTAGTTCTCGTTGATAAATCAGCAAGAACCGAATTAGATTTAGTCAAATCTGTTATGAACCGGTCAATTTCGGGCGAATCATGTTTTGGACATATGAAACTATGCTGTTGGATAAGGGACTGTTTTTTTGTCTCATATGATATGACTGCTGTGGCCTGGGCTGCTACTCAGGCAAGCCCTCTGCCTGCTGGGTCCATTAGGTTGGGCCAACACTTGGTAATTGGCAGTTAGGCTCGGGAAGCCTGTTAACCGATAAAAAGACCGACTGGGCTTGGGCCAAGCGGCTCCACAGGCCCACATTTCTCGGACCTTTGACCTGATGCTTAGTGTAAAGCAAAGTCACACTAAGCAAAGTCAGACACACAAACACATTCGACTAATTTTATGTGAGACTTATATCATCGTGACATCATGATGTTGTCTACATTCACTCGTATAAGTTAATCGGGATAAATAGGCGAGATGTTCCACACCAATAAGTAGAATTTTTTTCCTGGAATTTTAAAAGGTTTGGGATTTTATGGATTCCAATACTTTATGCTACTGCAGGTTGAAACTCTATAGTTTACCGGGAAAATTACTCTAGTTGAGTACTGCAGCATTTCCATCTATTTATATACATATATAAACACACTGGGTTAAAAATATACATATATATACACACTGGGCTATCGAGGCATTTACATATTTATAAGGTAAACTGGAACAAAATTATATTTGTTTATCAAAATTTCATTTTATTCCAAACACATAAATTCATTTTTCCATTCTAAATCCAAATCCCAAAGAATTTTGTTCCAAACAAAGCAAACAAACAAAATTATGATGCCAAATGAGTTGTTTAACTTGTTTTCATTGATGAATGTGACGCCAGTAAAAAATGAAAACCTCAAAATAAAGGGTGTACTTTTTAACCTAGGGATGAAAAAGGTGTAGTTTGAAGAAAATTAAATACACACAGACCGAGTAAATATTCAGATTTTCATGAAAGAAAAACCTCACTTTCACACTGAGAAAAAGGGTTACAAAATGAAACACTTTGCTCTCAATAGGAAGAGTAGTAGCTTTTGGATGAGTTGAATCTGCTCTTGCATTGTTAGACTTCTCCATTGTGCTCATTAAATTGTTATCTCCGTCTTCTTAAACCATTGTCTAACCAGTAGGTCCTGCACACAACAAAATTGTACATATAGAATTTCAGATATTTGTTTCTCGAGCAATTTATTTTAGAGAAAATTGGTTAACCATGCACAATTGTTCTTCTAATCAGTGACGGACCCAGGAATTTTTTTGAGGGGGCATTGTCGAAGAATAAAAAAAAAATTTGTGAAGTGGGCCATTTTATAAATTGAGTGGGGGAATTTTTGAAATTTTAACTAAACTTTAGGTAATAATATAAATTAAAAAAAAATCCAGTGGAGAAATCTGTGAGGTAAAAATGTGAAGGGGGGCATGTTAAAAAAATTAAGGGGGGGCATTTTTGAAATTTTAATTAAAACTATAGATAATAATGTAAATTTATAAAAAAAAATCCATCCACCCCCATTGGTCATGAACTAGGTCCGTGCTTCTGATGTCCGTAGAAAGATAAATATTTTTTTTTATTAATGAAACCACTAATCTAACAGATGGCTGTTAAATATTTATAAAACAATTTATAGGGCGGAATTAATTTTTCATAAAACTGTAAATGAAACATAATCCATGAGTAATATGATATAGTTATATGGTGTATGCAGACTGGGACATAACAAGATTCTAACTCTTGCACAATAGAAAAGAATGATTAGTGCAGATCATTTAAAATATCAATCATCACAAGACTGAAATTTGAAGGGTACAACAGACATAAGGCCTTCTGTGGTGACTGGAAAGGGTTCTTCAGATGATGTTCGAAATGCACGCGGGCGCGCGCGCACACACATATTTTGTTCTAGCAACAAAGAATCAGGGCTTCATCTTGGCAATAGTTTAGATATACTTATTTTAATCATGACAGAGTCACAGTTACTAAACAAGCAACTTGGTTATGAAGTGCAGAAATCATCGCTAGAAGGTACCTGGTTAATTAGGTTGAAAATTAGCTACCATTGTGGTGGTAGATATGGTATAATTAGGTTAACTCACTCTCCCTTTGCAGGCACCCAAGGGAGGATACAAAAAGAGGTGGGTTTGGTGTCAGAGAAGACGGATGATCGTAAAATTTTGTCAAATCCCCTTTGATAGATTCTGGGATGGAAAAAGAGAATCACACGTAGCCATCTATTGGTTGGTACAGGATAAAGGCAGGAATGATGATGACGATGACGATGATTCTTTAGAGTACATTGATAAACCTCATTAAGCAACATAAAAGCTCGTCGAAATAAACATATACTTAATCTAGTGTTTGTCGAAATAAAAGCTTTTTCCCCTTTCAGTTGACCTAGTCTCTTGGCAGTTAGAAAGCCAAGAAGATGTTCTGTGGGAAACCAGTGTTCTACCTTTTGGAAAAAGGTTAGGTTGGGATCCTTATTCTTCCACTACACAACCACCCGAGACGTGAACGATCAACTGTTCTAGTCTTAGTAGGCCCATCAGACAATCCATTGTGATCAGTAGAAAAAATAATTTCAAATTACTCTCCTCTAGAGATTTCATGGTACTTTCAGACCAGAAATGAATGTTTTCATCTGTGTTCCCTTTGTTTAATGTGTGATTAACCATAAAAAGTTCCTACAATCCAAAAGAACACAAGACGTAGTCTATGAAGATTAATAATTTAGATCAACCCCCAAATTGCATATAAATCATCACCAAATTGGACACAAATCATCAAAACCAACACCTTTTTCATAAATACTATATAATCTGATTACACAACCATCCTATTCTGACTACTAGATTCTGCCCAATTGTTCTAGTCTCCTAACCAAGACCTTCATATAGCATACTGTGATTAGTAAATTCCTTATCTCTATCAATTTCATAGCACTATAGAATCTGATCAATAAGTTGTTTTGACAGTTGGTTTAAAATTGACCAAAAATGGATGATTCATCGACTTTGTCTAATCGTATGCAATAATTCTCTATTACTCATTCAAAAGTTCCTACTTTCTTGAAATTTTAATACCCAAAAGAACACAAGACATAATCTATGAAAATCATCATTCATATCACAGCCCCAAATGGTGTATAGAACTTCAAAATCAACACCCTTTTCATATTGAATTGTTAAACACTGAACCCTTATTACAAAACTATCATATGCCAAATAGAATTTCAAAATAAACATTCAATAGTTCAAATTGTATACACACCTGAGAATTGCCAAACCTCAAGCCCAAGAATTGTCAAAAGCAGCCGAAGTAATCGCCTGCGCGAACTCCTGAAAGCTGATCCGGCCATCCCCATCCATGTCGGCTTCCTTGATCATCTCGGTGAGCTCCTCCGCTGTCAGGGCGTGTCCGAGCTTGGCCATGGAGTGGGCCAACTCCGCAGCCGTGATATACCCATTTCCATCCCGATCAAACATCCGAAAAAGCTGCCTCAGCTGCTCCTCAGTGTACGGCGACTTGGCCGGAAGAAGATCCGGCGCCACCAGCGCCACGAACTCCGAAAACTCAATCAGACCATTGCTGTTCGTGTCGGCCTTCTGTATCAGTGTCTCGAGTTGGTCCGGGCTTGGTTTTAGCCCGAGCGACCGGAGTAACGATCCGAGCTCGAGCTGGGTCAGACTCCCATCGTTGTTCCGATCAAATGATCGGAAAATTTCTCGCAGCTCGGCGATCTGCTCATCGTCCAACTTCACCGGTTCTCTGCTGCTCATGTTAGCTTCAGACCCTTCTCCAATACCCCTCTCTCTCTCTCTCTCTCGCTCTCTCTCTCTCTCTCTCTATATATATATATATATATCTAAAATCTATATCTAATTCTCTATATTTCCACCATTTTGTACCATCGCTCTTCTTTCAGCTTGATGTTTGGACGGACAGAAAATTGGGTTTCTCTCACTTTCTCGGAAATCTTTAACATTTTTCCCCCTTTTGCAGCCGATTCAAGAAGATGGGTTTTGTTTATTTTCTTTCTTTTCTTCCAATCACTCTGTAAATTCAATACCCAACAAACATTCCGATTCGTGCCCCCATTTCCTCTGAGAGCAAGATCTGAGGCGTGCTTGGACTTTGTAATTGCTCCAATTTCGATGGATCTGAGCAAAATTGACGCACTATTCGGATCGGATTGAGCAACAAAATTGGAATTGACGAGTCTTTGTCGTCTGTGGGATGAAGAACACGTAGTTGAGAGAGAGAGAGAGAGTTTTGTAGTGGTGTAAATATTGAATTGGGTGAGGAAAATAAATATTTATTTGTAATCAGCATTTGTTTAGTAGTCAATACCATCACGACCGGCAACGAATTGATAGGATAAGGAATTGGAACGCTGACCCTAATTTTATTTCCTTTTATTTTCTCGGTTTTTTTTTCCCGAGAAAGTTCCAAATGTGGCGGCAAAAGAGGCGCGAGTTCCGTGAAACAGGCACGTCTTTTCAGACTTTTTCAACTGTTTTTTAAATTTGATATAACCGTTGAGGAAGTAGCTATCTACGGTTGCTTTTTGTTCATTTTGGTACAACTGGCTACGTGTGTTCCAAACAATCCTCGATTATTCCTAGGGTAATGCAATTCGATGGAGTTGCACAAGACAATTTCTGATTTTGTAGTAAATAAGAAAGCATATTTATTTTAAAGACAAAATTATCCTCAAAATTTTAGCATTTTCTCTCATTACAATTTATTATTATTTTATTATTATTATTATTTATTTTTATTTTTTTTGTCAACATTACAAGTGAATAATCCACCTTTAAATCCAAATATTGTTTATCCTATATTCTCAGCTATCATATACGATTATCATTTATCACTTATGCCATCCTTATCTCTTAACCGCCACCTCACTCTTTGGAACCATCCTCATCTCTATCTCATAAATTATTTTGGTGGTGGTTTTGCGAGTTTCGGTGGGAAGAGTATTAGAGAGTTATTTTCCTATATTGAATTCAGATGAGAAGGTAATTATATGAAACGCATGCAGGCAGAGTCAAGCCAAAAAAAATTCAGTTGGGAGGCCAAATAGTAATATAAAGTTAAATTTAATAAATAAATAAAATAATTACAATATTTTTTTCCGGTGCATTTTTAATGTACATTTTTTTATAACAAATCTATAAATAATATAAGAAAAATAAATAGAAAGAAGATTAGTTTACAGTCCATTAATAAAGTTGTCATTGTCTGGTATTATTATTATTATTATTCCTCTCTCTCTCTTTAAATCATAACAAATAATTTATATACTTATATATATATATATATATATATATATATATGTATATGTATATATGTATTCTATATCTATGCCATGCATATATTAATTTATTTTGTAATTAGATTTATTTAGATTTTCTTTTCAAGTTTAACTACTATAAATATATAATATTAAAATATTAAACCGAACAAAATCTAATTAGAAAAGGATTAATATAAATATATAATATTAAAAAATTCAACTACGGAAGAAAACCTAATTAGAAAATGATTCAATAAAAGGAATATTTAGTCCCAAGAAAATCTAATTAGAAAAGGATTCAATAAAAAGAATATTTAGTAATAATATAAATAAACCCACTTTTATTGTATTACTAAGTCTTCCCTAAATAGCAATTTTACAATAAAATTATGTAGGAAAGAAAAAAATTGGATGGAATGGAGAGAAGAAATGATGAATAAAACATCTCTAAGAAAGAGATTGTGTATTTTTTTTTTTTTTTTTTTTTTTTTTTTTTTTTTTTTCCATTTGGTTAAATAGAAGAGAAGAGAATAAATTCATAATTCATAATTTACTATGTTCCTTAAGTAAAAAGTAAAAAGAAAACCTTAATTGTTTTTACCCTTATATTCAATAATATTTAAAGTATTGTAATTTAAACCTTTGTTTGATTATAGTATTTAATTTTAAATTTTTATAATAGTCCACCCCTCGGCCCATTTTTTGGTGAATAAAAATTTGTAAAGAATGAATGTCATCCTTCGTATTTTCCTTTCTTTCTTGTATCATTTTTACCGAACAAAGATCCTTCCTTCCTAATTTCTCTCCACGCATCTTCTTTCCTTCCTACGGAACACAACATTAATCAAAAGAGTTTTGATGTGAATAATAGATTAGATTTAGAATTAGAAAAAATTTATTCCACTTTTCACGGTTTGTACTTTAATCTTAAATGAAATGGCAATTTTAACCTTAACTTTGCAAATAAATAATTATTACTGTACTTTTTAAATAACACAAATGCCCTTTCAATTTCATCTCCTTATCTCCAATCTTCAATATTTTAGGTCTCCCTTGACAAGACAAAAAAATAAAAAATAAAAAATAAAAAATAAAATAAAATAATATATATATATATATATATATATATATATATATATATATATATATATATATATTTTACGGGACAAAAAAAAATATGTTGAATAAATTGCCTCTTTTGACTAGAACAAAATAATAAAAAGCAACCATTAAAAAAAAAATTACAAAAAAAAAAGAGAAAAAAAAATTACAAAAAAAAGATAATTAAAAAAATAAATTATCTCTACTGAATAAATTATCTCTCTTGACAAGAGAAAAAAAAAAAAGAAAAAATTATCTCTTTCGACAAGACTGAAAAAAAAAATTACTTTGTTGAATAAATAAATCTTGCAATTGTACAAAATAAATAAATAAATTAGGAAAAAAGTAAAATAAAATAAAATAGTAAAGAAGGTAAAAATAAAGTTGTATAAAGAGTAATTATAACATTAAAAATGAAAAAATGGTGCATTAATAAATTCAATGATCTTGTCATTAAAAAAAAAAAAAAAAAAAAAAAAAAAAAAAAAAAAAAGGAGTAGTTCCTAAGGCCTAAATGAATAAAGCTTGGTTCATAAAATAACCACTTTTGTCAAGGTACTTGTAGACCATGGTTGGGTACTGTGTGGTTTATGGTTCATCATTAGACTTTTTACATTACTGATTTCACATAAATTCATTATTTTCAAATTAACTTCTTTTTCTATGTGCAATAAAACATGTGGGAGAGAGTGAGTGTGTGAAAAGAGGGGTGTAAATGCTTCTATTCCAAATATGGCTTTGAAAATACTATACCATAGATTTTTGAAAGTAGTATATAATTTTGTTTTTATTTAAGAATAAAATATTGCATATTAACAAGAATATATATATATATATATATTATTATATAAATGACTTTATGTAGCAAAGAAAATTTGTTATTTCCTTCCTATTTTCTTTCCTCACCACTTCCTTCCAAGCACAAAAGAAAGTAACATTACCAGTCCTCCATAATCTATCAACATTAACCCCCACCTGCAGACAATTTCTAACAAAAACTTTAAGAAAGTTATACTACTAGTCCTCCATAAGTTGTCAACCTTGTGTCTAGTGCTCATCACCATATCTTGCCCGTAGAACCTCAAACATAGCCCTTTTTTGCTTCTCATTATATTCCAGCAGTAGATACTCCGCTGACATCTCTCCCCTGAATTCATCTCTGAAAAGAAGCCTTAACATCAATTAGACAGTAACCATAACAGAAACCTAGACATAATTTTTAGTCACGTTTTATCAGCAAAAACGAAAAACAAAGATATAACATATAACGATCACAATACTTTTTAACATCAATTCTATTATATTTAAAAAAGAAAAAGAAAAAAGAAGACAAACATCATGAAATAAAAATGGTACTATCAAAGATGGAACTCTAACTTACTAGTAAATGAAACTGGTGTAATATCCAAATCCTTAAGGTGTACAATCTTTTATAAAATGGATGCCAACATAAAGAATGTCATCGATCTAACATTAAATGTTGCTAAAGTACTTCATGAGAAGTGTGCCCAAGTCGTATCAAGTGCATCTCCTCGAGCACTATCGGCCCACTTAAAGGGTTGATGCCTTGTGGCAAAAAACAACTAGAACGCACCAAACCTCACATACGGATCAATTTAAGTGGTTGGTGCTCCATGGCCAAATTTAGGCATAAGATTCAATTTCTCATCTCAATTCGGCAGAGCAGGAGAATAAAGCTTGTCAAGGAGAAAAAATTAGTTCATAATGTTGTTTACACCCTAATTTTCAGTTGTTACACAAATCCGAAAGTGACACGTTGTAGGTTCCAATAGAACTTGCTACAACGAATTATTATTTTTTTTCCCAGGCAAGTTCGGAAAATTTTAAGGGATAAAGTAGGGGCATAACCCTACTGAGAACACAGCAAGGACCAAGTTTCAATAAATTGAAGCATTCCAAAACATTGGAGATCAAGGACTATAAAGCAAATTCAACAAACCCTGAAGTCGAAGATCCAAGATTTCCATCACTTCCCAACAGATGGATTTAGCTACTTCTTCAGCTTCCTTAGAAATACCAGTATGGATTCTCTCACGTCAGATACACCAAATGGAAGTTGAGCTACAACGAATTCTTATGCTAATGGCCAGTTAGAGCTTGACGTGTGGCCATGAAAGAGAGATGGATCACCTATAGCAAAGTCCACGAAGAAAAGGAAAACATAAAATTGTGGAACAACAAGAAGATGAAATGTGGAGAGTTCCATGCCAAAGCGTATTCCAATGTCAACTGCCAACAGAAATGTGACACTTGGTTGTCCAGAGGAAAAGGGAGAGTCCACCAAAACATTAAGAATTGAAGTCAAAAGACCACTTAGATGTTGCCACGTGTCTTTGAAGACTAAGTCAAGCAAAAAAGGGATTCGACAAGACGCCGACCGCCCAGAGAGAGCTATACGTGGCACAATACTATGGAACCCAAGTGTTCAATTGCCACATGACAAGTAGAGAGGATAGCATCCAAGGAAGACTAGAGTGGAAAGTTAACTCTGTCTACTGTAGAGAGAAACGAGTCACGGTCAGAATATACTCACTTGCCATATCAGTTGCCTAAAATCAAGAAAACATCTCACCATACAAGGAAACAAGGATAAATTCTAGGATCCACCAAGGAAGTTGCTCCAAATCAAAAACTATGGATAAATCTTTAGGAGTCAACTAGGAAGTTGCTGAAAATCAGCAAGTGGTCGAAGTACATGGAGCATTTACCTAAGAAAGCTGAGCAAAAGATAGATGGAAGGTCATGGTCATTTCCATCTGCAGGTCCAGAACGTGGCTAGGAGCGTGCAACATGATGCACCACATGATGCACCACAAATTCCACTCCTCAGGCTACAAATTAAGGAGAAACGTAGTCTTACACGTGTCAACGCTACGAGAAGGCTGAAGAATGCATGGGACACATGACACAAAACCGGACATTCCAAATGGAAGCATCCTACCGTAAATTTGCAAAACCCATTAACCCACGAAATCCCCACTACATTTGAATAAAACCCATTAACACCCCCCCCCCCCCCAAAAAAAATAAAAATAAAAAATATATAAGGCACTAAGAATGGAGAACTTAAGTGCCCAAATAGGAGCCTCATCAACCCTGACTACATATCTTTTTTTGTTCATGGACCTTTATGATATACATGTGTTTATTTATTTTTCATAAGTAAGATATGCATGTATTTATAGACAAGACGTGCATAAGAATTGGGAAAAAAAATATGACAAAAAAATAAAAGGAAATTTAGATTAAAAAAAAAAAAAGAAGATACAAAAGAGCGTTACATTGTTTAATGTAATTTTTAAGGGTGCGCAATAAAAAGGTGTGGTACCTGTTAACGGAAAATATGAGGGTGTAGGCTTTGATGGTTTGGGAACATAAAACGGAGACCTATACATGCACCGATTAGAAGAGGAAGTTTAATTTGTATAAAAAGTAAAAGGAGAGGGAGACCAAAATAACGTGAGATATGGCGAGTGTTAGAAAGGAATGGAGATAGAGAATTCATGTGGCCGACCCTATTAATACGGAAATAAGGCAATGTTGTTGATGATGTAAAGAACACAAGTAGAATAGTCTTGTAAAATTAAAAATTCAGTTTTTTTTTTCTTTTTTGATAGGTAAGATTTAAAATTCAGTTTTGAGTAAGGAAATTTAAGATAACTACTAAAATACAGTTTTGAGTAAGGAAATGTAAGATAACTAGTAAAATTAAGTTTTTAAGTAAGGAAAATTAAGATAAATATTGGATTGAATATTTAATGAAATATTATTTGTTTATCAATTGTGTTTGTTAAAATAAAATAGAAGAGTTTGTCGAGTTTTTAAAATAAAATAGAAGAGTTTAGGTATAATGTAAGAGTTCGTGTTTAATGTGAGAACTTTTATACATTTTTGGAGTAAAAATGAAATTTTAATATAGAATAAAGCAATATAAAAAAAATGACCCCACGCACTTTGTAATTTAAATAATAATATATACATAAAAGAACATAATTAGAATAGTCTTGCAGCTTTAAAATTCTACGTTTTTACGGGGCCAACACTAAAAGATGTGAGAGTAGCATGGCCAGTAAATAATAATGAATGAAGTTTAAAATGGAAGGAACCATTTCTAGGTGGGAACCTAGATCAACAACTCAGTAAACTAAGCTTACAGCAAGCTACACTGGATGTGTAACTTACCTACCAAAAAGAAGACGAAAAAAAAGAAAAAAGAGGTTGTTTGTTCTTAAAAGAAAGAGAAACACATAAAATAAAGGGAAAGAGGTTGTTTGTTCTTTTAACACGTAGTCAATTCAAGATCCTTCAAAAATCGAACACATGCCTCATCCTTGGCCCTTCCAAATCCAATGGAGGAGGTGCCTTACCAAGCCAATAAGAGGTCCACTTGTTTGTATGGAAAAGGAGGTAGGAGAGAACAAAACTTACATATTATCTCCTTCAAGAACCACCCATTATCTCATTTTTCATTCTTGAAAATCTAAACAGATTTGACATCTTGTGAAGCATCTGTGGTATTTTCCCTCCCAGTATTGTTGGCCAATGGGGTGCCAGTGCCATTATACCCTCTCCAAACACCCCCTTTATTTCTGTTTCAATATGATGATGTTCTCGTTAGAGGTAAGGAGGGTACGGAGAGATTGCAAGGGACTATCCTTGCCCATACACCACGGAAGAGACCAATGCCCCCGAAAAGAACCAATCTTTTCCCAAAGGATTATATCTCTCACCATCCTCCAACTGACCATGCACACCGAAAAAAGCCCAACCTAACACATCCTCCTCCATAATAAAAGCACAGGACAACGAGAACCTCCCTCAACAAACATCCACCCTGAACACCCAATCTTCTATCCCACATCACTGAGATACCCCCTGAAGTGCCCACAGTATCCAACACTTCCCACTTCATAAATTTCCCTCTCCTATGAATCATTGCCTTTATCCCAAAAGAGTGGCGGCCCAAGTTCCTACTCAAAATCTTGTAACAGGTGATCATGACCCACTTAATAATGCTCAATTTTAACTCTGATGATGAATCAATAAAGGTAGCAAAGGGCACTTCACTTCAAAGTTCGTGGAAACTTTGGGCAACGGGCAAATCGAAAGTTTCAATGACCAAATCAGAGTGCACAACATCACTTATCAAAAAAAATCAGAGTGCACAACATCAAAAAAGGAAGAATAGTAGACTAGTAGTCTATGGTAGAGTCAAAGAAGGCGCAATAAAAGCTAAAGTGTAATTTCAGAGAGATAATTGATTTTGCCTGGGGTTAAGGGGAAAATTGCAAATCTATAGAGGAACCGACAGAACTGTTAGCTAGTAGTGTATATCATCTTACGAGAATAGAGTATGGTGTGGATCAACCAGAAGAAGTATAATTAAAGGTAATTCCGTCTGTTTTCTGGGTTTGGAAAAGTTTGGATTTTCAGGAAACTCAATCAATGAAAAAGAAGACAACGAAAGACTCCATGTTCCCCACCTTTATGGGTTGGTTATCGAGGTACAATCAGAGCAGGAAGAATGGAAGATTCAGGAAAAGGGTGGAATGGGTCTTTATTCAGGGTGTGCCAGAAGGAATGGAATTTGAAAAACAATCGGTGATAATGGTTACAAGTTATGTTTCATCATTGTCGTATTCCATGACTACTAAAATTAAGCTTCTTAAATTTTACAGGAAACAAAACATAATATAAACCCTAATAAAATTGTCCTACATCACATCACATGTTGGTTGCCAAGCAGGAATATGTAAACCACAGTCGAAGTAGAAAGTCCAACGGTCAACCGTAAAATAGATTCAAAATATTATAAAGATACATAGGAACGCAGTAGCAAAGAGATATTCAAGTTTCAAGGGAAGAGACGAACAGTTTGTCTCCGATCCAGCCCATCACTTTAATTCCCATGTAATAAAAACAAAACAAATTAAGATGTAAGACACATTATGCAAAAAAACTACAATTGTTCCAACATGACTCTTAGATATAGGCATATAGAAACTACAAACATTATATGAGTACAAGTATTAATACAAGCCGCCAACAATACAGTAGGTTGTCTTGGGATGTGCAGTTCCGGCGATCCTTTCAGGATTGAGAGTTGGATGATGTCACTAATTTGTTGGCTCTCTTGTATAAACAGGAGATGGAGGGCACTGGTGCGGATTCCTTGACTTGGGTGCCTTCTGCGCAGGGGATGTTTCAGGTCTGGTCCTTCTTTTTTTGTCTCTCTGGGTTTCACGGTTCTACATTCCCGTGGAAGACAGTGTGGTTGTCAAAGGCACCTCTTAGGGTGGCCTTTTTTGTGTGGACCGCAGCTTGAAGTAAAATTCTGACTTTGGACAATTTGAGGAAGAGACGACATATCATTGACAATCGGTGCTGTCTTTGCATGATTGATGGAGAGTCTGTGGATCACCTTTTGTTGCATTGTGCATTGTCCTGTGGCCCATGACTATTGGAGTCTCATTTTTGGTTTGTTTGGTGTCCATTGGGTCATGCCCCGGACCCCTAGGGAGTTGATGGACATTTGAAGGGGCCATCGGATGGGGATGCAAGTTAGAGATTTTTGGAGAGTGACTCCCCTTTGTATTTGGTGGAGTCTTTGGAAAGAGCGGAATAGAAAATCTTTTGATGGAAAGGAATCCTCCATTGAGACATTGAAAATTTCTATTATTTGTACCCTTTTTTTGTTGGGGTTGGGGGAGAAATTATTCATCTATTGTGGAAATTGTGGATTTTTTGGGCTCTTTGAGCTCATCGGTCTTTTCCACTTTCTTTTTTTTGCTTTGTGTACAACTCTTGGGACGCGTTCCTCTTTTGAACGGCTTCTAAATACATTTTACTTATAAAAAAAAAAAAAAAAAAAAGCTATAAATAAATGGTCCAAATATATCATTGATTATTTAACAAGCACCTTTAGATGATATAAAAGAGAAACCAATAGAAATCCAAATCTATTGCATACCATTAGAGTAGTAAAAGATTAAATCCAAATGACAATCACAAAAGTAACACATGAATCATTAACAAAGAAACTTCAACCATTAATAACTTGAATCAAGGTGAAAACAAAGAAAAACAGTGCTACTATAGGATTGCAGCAACCAAAAAAGTGGTAAAATACAATAAATTAAAAAAAAAAAAGAAAAAAAAAAAAAAAAGTGGAGATCATCAAAATATAAAATTTGTTGAAAGAGAAAGACACATTTTTCAAAAACACAACAAAATAATAAATTGGGTATAAAGAGCAATCTAAACTAGTCAATTGAGATGTGAAGAAGGGATTGAAACATACGCCAACGTATATAGAGCGCCAACAGTACAACAAGCAACAGCAGCGGTCGGATAAATAAGTGATGCAGTAAGAAAACAAAATTACTTAGTGAAAATCGGAACCCAATTAAATAAAACAGGGAAGGGAAGGTGGAGAGCGAATTACTCATTCTAGCAGCCAACGGCATTTTAAAAACCCTTTCACATATCCTCCTGACGACGGTCATCTGAAACAAACAATTTATTTATTTATTATACAAATGAAATTGTATGACATAAAAAAAAAAAAGGGGGGGGCAAATATTTGCTAAAACCAAAAGAGGAGGAGGCATTTTATTAAATCAAAATGGATTCTAAATCAACCAGTGATTCGTAAACAAGGGGATAAATAAAACTTTGACAACCAATTCTTCTGAAAACCCTAGCACGCAAGAGAACAATACCTTAACTTCTCCCCTGTATATGTAAGAAGTTTAATGATAAAAATAAAAAACAGATGGAGAAGAACAAGTAACGAAATCAAACCTTAACCCCTCCGAATTTGCTTCTCTTCTATTCTATTCGTCCCCTTTCTAATTTTTTCACTGTATTTCTTTCTCTCCCTTATCGGTGGCCCAAACGATAAAAAGGGAGCTCATTGTCTTTGGGCCGCTCATCCCACACCCCACTCTTTTTTCATTTCTATTGCAAGTCTAGCCCAGTAGCCACATTCACAACATCTAATCCAATCCTAAGAAGCATAAAAATACAATCCATTAGTTTGAGCACCATTATTATTATTATTTTTATTAACATTATGCTTCATTAATTTTAATTTAACAGTAAGAGGCACCAATTTATTAAATTTGTATTAAGGAGTATTTTAGTCATTATAATACCACTTTGCAACAAATTGTATAATTAGGGGAGTTTTATGTCAACTTTTTTTTGCTGGGATGTTTCTTGCCAAAAATTTAAAGCGGTTTTATGCAATTTGCCCCAATAAAAAAATATTGATTCACTTCTTAAAGGTAAGGTAAGAGAGATTAGGGATCAATTTAAGAATTGATATGCACATACTAAATAGTAGGAATATTTTTTTTAATACATTTTTATATAGAAAAGTTTTTTTTGCACTTTACCCAAATAATAATAATAAATAATAAATTAATTTTATAGTCTCATGTAAGAGTAATTGCTTGTTACTTTCAAAATAATAGGATAATTTTATTTTATTTTTTATTTTTTATTTTTATTTTTATTTTTATTTTTTGTTCTCTCTCTTAGTGCCTCAAGTTTTGCTCAATATAGTATGAAATAGGAAACCCAAAAGAAAAAAGAACATATAGAACTGGGAGAAAGGAGGCTTTTATTGGAATGAATGACCATTAATCAAACTAATTTTCCCCCGATTTTAATTCGGAAAGACTTTCAATTCATATTATACCACCACCACCACTACTATTATATTTAGTTTGGTGTCATAACCTTTCCTTATCTAATGTTGTGTCTCCAATTTCAACCTTGGATTTTCTTGCAAGTTTGAACAAGAGAAATATGGATTGTGTGACTGCTATGTAAGGTTTACAATTGTATTCTTTACTTTCTGATTCATTGTTACTTTTCAGTGGCAACAAGAACAAAGAACCCAAAATGCCCAAACTGAGACATCTACTTGCAACATACTGAGTCTCTCATGTAGCCTTTCACACTGTTGTAGTCAATACCAGAAAGGAGCCCTCCTCCCCAATTCACAAGTAATTTTGTTTTCTTACGACATATCATTGTCAATCGGTGTTGTCTTTGCATGATTGATGGAGAGTCCGTGGATCACCTTCTGCTGCATTGTCCTGTGGCCCATGACTGTTGGAGTCTCATTGTTGGTCTGTTTGGTGTTCTTTGGGTCATGCCCCGGACCACTAGGGAGTTGATGGACATTTGAAGGGGCCAACGGGTGGGGATGCAAGCTAGAGATTTTTGACACTGCTTTTTCACTTAAGAAGTCTCATGTTACTTGACATTTCATCCAACTCAAACAACAAATTTCTCTCAGGTGAGAACCCAACATGGCTATTCAACTAAAAGGAGATTAAGAATTTGCACCTAGGAGGAAACAGACTTGCCTGGAATAAAAACGCAGCAATAGTTCCATAGTGCGTGCTGTCTGAGTTGTCCTTAGATCTTGTTGTGTTTTAGGGCATATGCCCATATGGCTAACCAATCAAGCAGGTCTAAATTTTTTGGACCTAAGCAAAATGAGCTTGAAGGAACCTTCCCACAGTGGCTAGCTGCTTAACTGCACAATGGTAGTATAATTTTATCAGAAAACAAGCTTACAGATTCTCTGCCCCTCAGTTGTTTAAAAGCCAAAATTTACTTGTCCTCGATCTATCAAGGAATAACTTCTCTGGGGAAGGGCCAGAAAAACAAATATATGTTGAAGCCAAATGCGGCACTGGTCCAGAAAAATTGTTACCGGACAACATGAGTACCATCGGTGAAGTGGCTTTAGACAATCTAACAATTAGATTGAAGGTCATTTTAGTATATAATGCATGCTAAAGATAAAAGATCAACGAGGTATGAGCATATAATTCAATAGTTCAATGGTGCAAGAAAAACTCATCTTGCACAGATTGTGGCTGATCCATCCTAAAGAAATACAAAAGCAAAATGTAAACAAACACTAAATTTAAAATTATATATTATTTATATCATAATATATATATAGAGAGAGAGAGAGAGGCTTTCAGGCTTCACCTCAAGCATGGATGACAAGGGTATTTATCCCTTTTTTGCTCTGTTACTCAAATTCATGATCTCCCTCTGCACTTTCTCAGTCGCAAATAAACTTCCTCTTCTTGATACCATCAAAAAGAATCCCTCAAACCATCTTTGTCCTGAATGCTGCAACATTTGGAGCATTTGGCTTGCCTGGATGTAGGAAAGTCAGTCCCTACAGTCACTCTATAGCACTAAATAAGTTGGGAAAAATGGTGGTTAAAGACGGATGGAGCTAGGATTTCATTTCCGGGATTAGTGTTCTTGATTTAAGTAATAATAATAATAATGCAAAATAATATGCTAAGAATCAAAGAGTAGTATAAAAAAGTTAAATACTTGACAAATTTAATGACCAAAATATTTATTGGTAATATTTCCATTGAATACAATTACAACTGTTCGTTAAGTCTTCATATTTTGAAAGCAATGCATGGTAGCCTCTTTACCTATGCCACATTGGGCAACCACCCTTATATATTTTCCATTGGTTTAATTAGCTTCAATTGATTTAGCGATGCATGATAACCTCAATAAAAACAGTGACAGAGCCAGAAATATATTTCAGGTATTTGAGGGTAGGCATATTAAACATGATAATGTAAATTTTAATCCAACTATCATGACGACTAATAGTGCAACAAGACAGTGATCCAAAAAATAGAAGTCAGTAACGGTGCATTAATCAAGATTCAAACAGTCATTATCTGCAAGAAGTTACAATAAAAAAAAAAATCAAAAATATAAAAAACACACATTGAGTTCATAAAATTACAATAATAAACTTAAATAAGAAGGAAAAAAAGAATAAGAAGACAAAAATAGGTTACAATACATGCATCGGGGAAAAAAAAAAAAAAACACAAACAAACAAAAACAAAAGAAGAAGTGAGAGAACTTTGAAGGGTAAAAAATCAAATTTTGATTGAAGAAGAGGAATGCAACTTTCTTTTTTTAAAGAAATCAAAGGAATTTGAAGAGTAAAAGAGAAAAGAAAGAAAAAATTAAGAGATAATTTTAGCAAATGAAAATTTTAGGAGAGCATTATATAAACTCTCTCATATATATGTACATAAAAAAATAAAAAAAAGAAAAAAAAAGTATACATATATATATATATATATAGTGGGAGGGGGAGGGGGACACGTGCCCCCAAAACTGCATTGGCTCCGTCCCTGGTTCTAAATATAAGTGAGTTGATATACTAAGAGCAAGAGAGCGCCACATCCAGAAATTGCATTATGTATTTCTATAAATCATAAAGAAGAAAAAGCAAGTGCTACTTGATGCAAAAGATATAATATAACTAAGAATATTAGTCCACAGAGGCATTTTAGAAAAATTATCCCTTACCCAAACTGTGAGTCGTACGCAGCGGAAATTACTTAGAAAGTTTTTGTTTGTTTTACAAAAACAGATCTGTGTCCTTAACTTTGCTTATTTTATGTTTTAACAAGTAAACAGTTAATCACATGTAGATAAAATAATGCAGAGTATAAAGTTAGAGATGACACCAGGATTTTAACGAGGAAACCCAGTTGATAAAATACGTTAACTGTTATGGGAAAAACCTCGTGGACTGTGCAGTTCAAAGTAAACCAATACACTATGCTTGAAACAAAGTATACCGAACTTTGACTCTTGCTTACACCCTATCGTTCTACACCACACCAATCGCTGATGATCCTCTGGCTTTGCGACTCCTCGTCCAACAGCAACTTGATCTCAGACTGACACTTGATATTTGTAGAAGAGTAACAGGTAGATCAGACAACACTCCACGAATGCTCCAACCCTTTCAAAAGTGTGATTGCGTTTACCTCTGTTCTTCAATCGTCTGAGTGATATGGAAGAAGATCTGCTTCGTCTAATCGATATTGATACAACTGTATGATCACGATCAGGATTCAAACTCCACAACTCTAACTTAACTAGGTGAATATGTGTATGTTCTAGGAAGACTACTGAAAAATCAACTTTGATTTTCTGAGAGGGATTTTCTTCCTAAGGCTCTGTATGATATATGAATAATGATTAAAAGCCGTGAAATAAACCTTGTGTATGACATGGTTTATATAGAGGTTTGCAAAGTCCTATTCCTTCATAAAATAAAGGAAATCTCGTGCATAGGACTTTAGAAGGAAAGTGGAATCAAAAAGGGATTCAGCAGAACAAGATAACTTGTAAACCTGTTGCACTCAGGACTTGTGGAACCGGTTCCCACTTTGGCTACCGGTTCCCACTTAGCAGAGAGTTATCTTCGAGATGTAGCTCCTGGAATCGGTTCCCAAATCTTGAACCGGTTCCCACTTGACAGACTCCAGCCTGAAATTGGATTATCTGTATTTTGGTAACTTTGACCATATACTATGTAGGTACGTAATTGTGTCCTAAGTGGAAAACGATGTCTAAAATGTCCTTCTTGCCTTTCAACAATCAATAAAACTTTCATCTTCCGTCAACCTCTGAATTCCGCAGTTGATGTCAAGTCTGATATGGTAACGGAAAATACAACTCGACTAGGGCTCGTTTTGTAACCGAAATATGCCAATTTATAAAAATATATCTCACAATCTCCCCCTTTGGTAATTTCGTGACTAAACCTTAAAAATAATTTATAATCTACCCAAAGTAGAAAAATAAATTACAATTGTTTAAGGAAACACGGAATTTGTTTATCTCTGTTCTCTTCTACTATTGGACAAAATCTCCCCCTTAATGGAACCTTGTTTCTCCCCCTTTTTGGAACAAAATTAACAAAGTAATAGCAAAATAACCAGAGAGAAATAATATGAAAACAGAGTAAACAGGAATAAGTTTAATATATGTCAGAAATCAAAACAAAATATCTAAAAATACCAAGTCATGACAATG